CCCGTTTCACCAAATCTCTGCATTTGACCCAGCAGACAAGTGGACACCATCCCTTTTATTATCAAAAAACAAAACAAGAAAAACATGTTTTTGTGAGTTTATATGCAGACGCCTGTGTCCACTTCCTCAGAAACGCATGATGTGGATGACACTGAGTCATCACTTGTCACGTTTGTTGGAGGGTGCAGTGTTGAGTGTACACTGTGCCCTCACTGGGCCCAACATGAGATACACTTGGGCATCCAATACAAGAGCTGTAAAAACAATTCTGCTAAATTATGCTCAGTTTTAATTGAAATGGGACAGCAAAGTATTATGGTAATCATTCCAACAATTACTTGAAAATAATTATTGGATAATAATAGATGTATAATGTTTTTGCATCATGTGGTATGGTTAAGCTACTGTGCTATATGATGGCTCAACTGAACCGCTTCGTATGTTAACACATCTATTTTTTAATGGCTTTATATTTATTGCAGCCGATGTAATTTGTATGACAAAAGTGATATCATTAAGCGCCCAAGTGGTTTGAAAACAAATTTGACTCTTGAGTTAACTTAAGTGCCCACTACATTAAAAATCGCTTCACAGTGATTGAGGACTAGGGAATGAACGATGTCTTGAACTACAAAGTCAATCAAGGGCACTGATTCCATAATCCTTTCTGCCTCAGAGCTTATTCGCAGTACAGTAGTCCATGAGCACCATTGGAAACATTGTTTCATAACCAAGGTGTCAAATGACAACAAATTATAATATTATAAACCGGAGGGAAACTCAAGGTCATTGAGACAGCATGTGATCCGACAATGGGTCTCATCCCTCGACCAAAGAGCATTTGAGGTACCTCTGTTCAGTCTGTGCGGCCTTTTAAAAGGATCTATCTTTCCACACGATCCTTTACTTGAGGCAGTCATTGTCCTCCAGATGGAAGCAGAATCTCCACATCATCTGGAGACTCTCTCAAGTGCTTAACTCGTGAACTCTCAGTACCAGCCTGCCCACTCACTCAATTCAAGCCCTCATGAAGTCTGTTTCTGACAGTTTTGGTAGAAACACTTGAGTGTTCAGCTCCCTCATGAGTAAAGGTAAGGGTCCAACCGCAGAGTTGCTGCCTCTGCGCCTCATGTGGTGTACTGGCCTGACTCTTACGATCTCATCTAGCCTGCTAACCGAAAATGGTAATACCGTCCCCCAAAAGTGTGACTGACTTTGAGTTTCCAAGTCTTACCCACCACCACTCAAAGTCAAAGTGTTTGGCTACATCTACTGAAATCAGTCGATGGTCACTCAGTTAATCAGCAATTTTCTTTTATTTCCTTAGAAAAGAAAAAAAAAACCTATTCCAACTCCATTTGGTTACTTTACATTTCTCTTCTGGTCGTCACTCAGCCGTAACTTATCAAGATTGTGATCTCATGCTGGAACACCAAACATCCTGCTACTATACCGCACACCACGAGTACAACATGACAGCATACAACTTTTTTTGTCTTCTTCATCCATGTTTGGATTATACTTCCTCTTGACATTTTGGGAGTGACTCGCAATGGAAACCCCTTCTATTAAAAAAAAAAAAAAGGAACCCCCCCCCCCCCAGCAACAATAAAGTAGAAATCCCTGACAGTTTTACTTAGAAAACAAGGGATGAGATAGAGAAGTGTTTGAGCAGTGTGGTCCATACAACATGCACCTGACAACTTTGTGTGTGTGTGTGTGTGTGTGTGTGTGTGTGTACGCATGACTGCACAGCACCATAATTCAATATATATATTAATGGGTTGACGAGGTTCCCTGGCCTACATGACACAGTGCGAGAACAAGGGGGAGGAGAAAGCAAATCTAGGTCAGATTGTGGAACACGCAGGCCGGGCCCCGTTTGCAGCTCTGCTGCGTTACAGCGATACGAATTTACTTATATGCAAACCCAAGCCTTTTTAGCAGCAGTCCCCAACCTTTTTTTTTTTTTTGCTCCACGGACCGGTTTCAAGTAAAGGAGATTTTGACGAACCGGCATATAAACAAAAACAAAGACACAACTCGACATTTGGCAGAATGTCGTAATTCGTGGGAGCTCTGTGCCAATTCCATCGTGTCGGAATCTTTTATTCTTTTGTGTCACATTACACAGAGCGGGTTTGGTGCGTCAGTCGACAAGCCATAATCGCAAACCTGAAGTAGGACTACAGATCTATATTGAATTATATTGTCTTTGTATTTTTTTTTTTTTTTTGAGATAAAAGGCTCTTCTCTTTTTTTCGGTATTTGGTTTGTTCTCCTTTTCGAAGAATCACACCCATTTTTTGTAACTAACATTTTGACAGAGGAACGGGCAGGTGAAACTGCTTTTCAAAATTAAACTTCTGACTCTCAAGAAAGTCTCTCTGTGCAGCCTGATTCCAGCTTGTGCCCTTGTAGTCGGGGACCCCTGCAGTGTAGGATTAAGGGGATGTATCAAGTATGACTATCCCTGAGAAAAACGCCTTCAAATCGGTACCACAGAGGGCCATCTTTGCTACTGGCTCTTCTCACTAGAAAGAAAGTGGCTCACATTTTTAGCACATTCTGGAACATATAAGGCTGCTATTTAACTTTTTTTGAAGATGTACCACCTTCCTTCCACCTGTTTGGAGACATGATCCCTCATTACGCTGTTAGAACCAAGAGCATTTGAGTGGTCGATAAAACATGATTGTGTGGATACAGGCAGGAGGCTCGGTAGAGATGAATTATTCCCAGGAACTAAGAAAGCAAAGTGAGCCCATGACAATTTGGTGACAAGCGCAGCTTCTGTCATCATCAACCTCCGGGAGGAGGGGACTTAAAATACATGTCGATCGCTCATGTTTCCCACACAGTAACACTGAGCCAGTGTGTTCGCGCACATATTGAGTTGACATGCTAGCACCGGGGATTAGGTCGAGAGGTCAAAAGGCGAAACGTTATTGCAGAAACTCCATGATGCTGTCGTCAAATAGTGTGAAAGTGTTGGCTGTATGTGTCAGTGTGCTCTTTTCGATGATGACTGTCGGCTGAGTAAAGCTTTGTCGGCTACCCGCGAGCTAAGGAGGGGGGTTGTAGGCCC